GCAGCGGCAGGGAGGTAGAGACTATGTGACCGTAAGAGACGCGCAATCGATGTGTATTGTATCCTCCAGCTCTCCCATAGTCTCTACCCCCTGCCGCTGCAAACGCTAGCAAAACGCTTGTGAAATGGTGGTGAAACGCTGGCGTACGCTAGCGTGCTGCTAGCGTACTCTAGCGTGACGCTGGTGACGCTGAGAACGCTAGATCGATATGCATCCTCTCCCCGGTACTGCCGCTGGCGTACGCTGGAAGCGCTACGCTACGCTGCCGCAAAGTATAAACGCAGAATTATGCCCTTGAAATCTCTTTCAACATGTTGTCGATGGGGTATTTTTAGGTACACGCTGGCTACTATATACGTCAACCTCACAAACTCATATGAGAAGCCACAGGTCGAGGAAGAATTGGTTAAACTCGCTCAGGTATGTCAGCAGATTTCTTGATCGTTGTGTTTTGCAGTCCCTGGAAATGGATTGCAGTGTTAGGTGACATGATTTGGTGCGCGGCCTGAGCAGCCTTTTCCACCAACCTTTGCGAGCTTAGCATCGCATCACTGGCGAAAGAGCTGCCCTGGCTGCGTTCCAGCCCACGCCTCGTAACACGCCCCTTCGCTTGGAGAGATAACGACTGTGTTCCAGACATGCTCTGGGATGGGTTCGTGTTCATCCAGCTGAGCAGTTTAAACGCAGTAAGGTCCAGCGTCAAGCGGTCGGTTTTGACCGTCACATTTCTTATGAGTAACATTTCAGTTTGCCAAGCATCATGTGCCCGAGGTACATCCGAAAGATACTGACGACTATGTAGAGAAGCGTGTGCGCTGCTTAGTCGAAGAAGGAGCTGTAGCAGCATGCGTTGCGGTCAGCAAAACTGAATCTCATAAAGCGTTGGAGTTTCTTGCGAGGTGTATTTGACCAGTAACTATATTCCATTCCGTGGTTGTAAGGTTGTTATGTGTTCAGGGCCATGCTCGCATTCTCCGAAATTGAAGACCTAAGAGGTCGTATCATTTCTGAAGGTGGAACGAAGCTTTGCTTACGTTTGACAAAGGAAGCTACAGCTGAAGGAAAGATCAAAGCTGCTCATGCGATTGCCAAACTTGGTGCCAGGACGGATCCACAAATCGCTTTTCCTGGACAAAGAGCGTATGAGGTAGAGTCACTGATATTTTATAGCTTTGGACGCAGAAGTTTCATAGAGAAAGTAGCTTTCTTTACTTTTTCGCGGCCCTTAGTGATGTCTGCTGTCGAACACATTGCTTACCGCCGTTCTGCGAAGATCTCCGCATCATCTCGTCATTTTTTAATTACATCAACGATTACATCTTTTTTTTCATTTTTCCGTGATACATGTTTATACCATGCCCAGAAACGTGTAATGTTAACTTTGGAGGATGAAATAGATGCCAAATATACCAGAAAGAGCGAAAGGAGAAAAAGGCATGACACACCATGTATGTCATGCCGGTAACGTGTTAACATTTTTTACTTGTTTTCAGGTTGTGAAGCCTTTATGCGATCTCCTGCATCCCGATATAGAAGGGAAACCTAATTACGATGCGTTGCTCACTCTGACTAATCTGGTGAGTTACTTTGTCCTATTCATTCAATAATGACCAGTATTATAGTTTTTTTTGTGATTGTTTTTGACTCAACTCTTTCACTCCAACTTCTACTGGCCTTCGAGCCTTTGGAATCCTAGCCAGATTCAGATGATGTGCGGCGTTTTGGTGCAGCATTTTAGAATAGTGCCTTCGCCCCAACGGCTTAATTTTCATATTCCGAAACTACCTCCCCCTGAAGTTAGACGAAAATTCCATCACCACTGCTCCAGTTGTAGCTGTCTTTAATACCTTAGCTGCTGTGTACCAAAAAGGCCTACAATGTCAGGAAAATCGTCAAATTTTCAATTACAGTTTGGAAATAGTAGTGACTCTGACCATCATTTTCTCGATATCACTTTTAGGCCAGTATGAACGATTCTGTTCGTCGGCGCATACTGAAAGAGAGAGCCGTACCGAAGATCGAAGAGTTCTGGTTCATGACGGATCATGAGCATCTACGTTGTGCTGCAGCTGAGTTATTACTGAATCTTCTATTCTTGGATGAATTTTTCAAGGATACAGTAAAAGTAAGTTGCGTTTTGTTTTATTTTTAACTGCTTCTCTCATCACCTGCGGTCTTTCTGTAAAATTCCGTGAAACGCGGTGTTCTATGACGATTCTAACAAGAGCTCCTTAGGGATGGCTAATGCCGTTTGGACTCCAGCCAACTTTGGCACCGAGCTCATTTTTAAATTGCCTAAGTTACCAAATCCGCCAAAAACTTGTATGTAGGGCTAGAATTAACATCCTGATTACGAATGTGACATTCACTTTGGCGCCAGCCCGCCAAGAATGAGTGTCATAATTGTAATCAGGATGGTAAATAACCCTTTGTGTATATATCTTTCAGGCGGGTTTGGCGTTTAGGTAATTTAAAAATGAGCTCTGCTGTGCCGAAGTTGCTGGAGTCCAAACGGCATTAGCCCTTAGGAGTTGTTGGAAGTTGGCAAAGGTTGCCTACATCATGGTGAAAGGGTGCGAGAGGCCTTAAAGCCATACTCTACTCAGCCTTTCCATCGGTGAAAGCGGCAGCAACCCCCAGTCTGCACTCATGGTGCCCACTGCCTTCCAGTAACCCTTACTAAAAGACGTACTTTGCGCTCATAACACCGACAATGTTTCCTTGACAAGGGGAGCGTCAATCGTGGCGCAGTGGCGCCTATCTGGCAAGACGTCGTAACTCTAGTAACGGCTCAGCATCGCCTGAGAGTTGTTTGTGAGAGGGGAGGGGGGGACAAGAAGTCGTATTTGATCACTGTCTGGGCAAGAGTTGTAATCGCAGAGTCGAAGTTGTACATCGCAAGTCGTTCCGCACGGAAAGTCGAGCGGCTGTATCACTAATAGGGACTGGAGAGCGGCAATCGGCTATAGAGAATATAATAAGGGGTACTGTTATTGCTGAACACTGATAAAATCTAAGGCAGCGTTCAGACTTCGCGAAGGAAGCGCCTCGAGTGCGCGTTCGACGCTATCGATGTGCATGCTTTTGACTGCATCGATCGCCTCGAACGCGCGATTGAGGCGCTGCCGTCGCGAAGTTTGTACGTTGCCTAAAAGGATTAACCCACTTCTTTATTATCGATTGAAGTTTTTGACGTCTCACTCCACTTTCAGCCTGGCACAGACAAGCTGAAACTTTGGGTTCTGTACGCGGCTGAAGAAAACGAGCGCTTGGCAAGAGCGGCTAGTGCAGCGTTAGCAATTCTGACCGAGGATGTGGATGCGAATCGTCGAATATTCAAAGAGATTAAGAGCTGGCCAGAAGTGTTCAAGGAAATTGCAATGCATGAAGATCCCGAGGTGAGTTACATTTTATCCAGCCATAAATTTGGTTTTTTTCTCCTGTACTGTGTGCTTCTTACCATCAGTGCATGATTGCGGTATACCCTCCTATCGAGGGGCGTTCATGTTAGGTTTGAGAGAGGTTCAGGGGGGAGGTGTAGTACTGACACGGCCGTTTTCCACATTCGACTGATGTGCCCTATTTAGTAGTACTTCGCATTTAGACTCAAAAACAAGGCCTTCTTGGAATTGCCAATATTATGGAGAGCGATGAGAAGTTGTGCTCAGAAATTGTTGCGGTCCGTTTCTTCTCCTCATTTTCATGTTTTCATGTTTTGTTACCTCTTAATTCATCTATTGTGTTGGTCCACAAGTATGGTGCCTTACATAAATTTTTATAGAAAAGTTGCTATCATTCCCAATATTTTTTGCGGTATTAGATAGACAATCTACCGCTCTATACGATAGTGTAATTGCCTTTCTATTATTTCATAATTATGCAATTTCTACTTCATTGTCGGGTCGACGCGAAAGTGAGGTTTTGACAAAAACTTTTTGCACTCTATCTCGGCGCTCAAGGTATAGACGAGGCTCGAAACGCGTGAGATGTATGACTAAGTGAAGATGCTCCTTATTACAGGTTTAAGTTGGTTCGAACGACCAAGAGGTGGGAATGGGGACAAGTTGTGAATGGGGTGCCCTCTTGGGGACCGACTGCCCGCAGAATAACGGGAAACCTACTTTCGAACCTCCAGCATCACCGAGGGTGATGCTTGCTCATGGCAAGGGAGCATTTCATGACGACTAACGATCCCTCTTTTGTTAGCATGAATCTCTATGAATAAAGTGATTCAGTAAGGTCTCAGTGGAATGTATGTAGGGCAAATATGTAATATGTAGGGCATTAGGTTCGATGTTTGTATGTGGGGTCGAAATTTAAATTCTTGGCCATACACTTAGCAACTGGGCCTCGGCGGCTTTAGCTCTTTCAAGAGGTTAAAAAGAGAGGCTGTCGAAAATGCGCAGTTTCTTCAACCTGACATTTCACTTTGAGCACTTGAATATTAGTGAAAACAGAAGCAGCGAAAAAACTAAGACAACTTTCAAATAGGGCAGGAAATCCCCTGCAGAACAGTATGAAACGACACGGCAGAACATTTTATTTTTAGCGCGAAGTTTCGAGGGAAAAAATGCCGTTACTCATGAGCCAACTCAATACTTACTCGTCCATTCACACTATTGCCATAATTGAACGTATTTTTGGTACTGCTCGCGAATATGCAATTTCAAGTAGCGTAATGTGGAGTACTGACGCTCGTGAGCGGCTAATTTCCGCAATTCGTGGAAGTATCCGTCACTGCGCTTTCTTGTTCTCGAAGCGGAAGTGGAACAAGTGTTACATATCCCGAACATCCTTTACTTATTCGCGCATAACGATCTTGTCATAGAGAGAATGGGCTGGTATTAATTAAGTCGCTCAGTTAAAAGGATTCATCCTTTATTTTATTCCCAATTTTGATACTTAAACTTAACTCTTTTTCATTTGTGAGTGATTTGTGGTTTATTGGAATGATTTTTGCAAAATTACAGTCTGAAATATTCCGAGTACTTGTCGCCATTGCCAAGCTGGGAGCAGTCAACAAAAGCAGGAAAGGAGCAGCTGTACAAGTATGTAGGCGTCTATAAAGAACATTAGGTAGCCGATCTATACCTTTAAGGAATTGTGAATTTCAGGCAAAAAGAGCTCTCGCAGCTGCTGAGAAATTTGGTATCATTAGACCTACCGACAGAGAGCTGTACGAGCGGACTAATAAAGTTTCGACGATACCAGAAGAGTAGTAGTAATTTCAACTGTACCCACTTACTTGACTGATGCCTCTGCTTTAATAATATAGTTCTCTTTAAGATTTTGCAATGCTATTGGTCATTACTAAGGTCTTCGCCGTTGCCATGAGCCTTGGTAGGGCCCATTTTTCAGCGAAACTTGTCATATTCTAATGCGACAAAGACACATTATAATACGATATAGAGGGTGACATGCTACGACGGCTAGTAGGTCAGGCTATAACGTGTAGCACTCTCTCAGTGAAAGAGCGCAGACGAACAGACATGACGTGGCTTCGCTCAACTGGAGAGTTTCCCTACTCTAGGCACAGCGAAACTCCCATTCAGGTTTTTTAGTGCTATTGCATAGAGTTATTACTTGTTTGTTTTGTTGTGTGTTGCTCAGTGATCATTGTGGTGCCTTAGAGCATGATTCTTAATTTACTAATATGTGATCTGATTGTAAGAAAGCAGTGTGTGCATAAATTTATACAGTTTTTCTTCATGAAACAAATGAAATACCCTGAGCATAGCATAGAAACACACGGTACATAACAGCTGAGATACGTATTTGGCAAATGTATAGAAATCTTGGCAAAAAATCGATAATCGACGTAAACGAAAACAATGACAGTTGCGCATAAGTGAATCACGGAATCGGCAATGTTCGCTTCATATTCGAAGCGAAAGGGCAGTGACGACGTCTGGCACGACTTGTGAGATTGCAGCTTTGCGTATAGCTTCGGTCCATCTGAAAGCTCGTGCAATATATGATTCTGAACTTTCAATGCATCAGGGTGAGAAAAATTAGCACAATTACGGAAAGCCATGTGAAGTAGCCACCAGCTGAACATATAAATGTTAAGAAGAGAATGCGTAGGATAAGAATATGGGACATCCTTTTTGTGACGACACGCAGGAAGGGGCGTGGCATCCCATGGTGCCTCTGGATACAGCGGGTAACAAAAAAAGTGGACAGTCCAAAATAACACAAATGTTCTCGTAGCAGGACCTTTTTTTGAGGCTACCGTAACGTGCAAGAACAACTCCGCAGCTGCGACGTGTTAACCTTATAGTCTGGTTCGCCGCGGATGATGGGGCGTGTCCGCGCGTACATGCCCACCACGTTGCCGGCGTTTTTTCCTTTTCTTTTCTTTCGGCAAGCGACAGGGCTGTACCATATCGTTGGTATCAGTCGTTTCTCACCAGCTTTTGTCACTTACCCGCTTGAACAATTGGTGGAGAATAGACTTGGCGACGTTCCAAGCACAGATCGTCGTGCACGCCCCACAACCGGAGAGATGTATGTCGTTTGGTACGATCACCTTACCACTTACGGGTTAAGACATACCAGCCAAATCGCCCACCAATTAGGATCTCTCGTCGGGAATGTCGAACTAGCGCTTTCCCTTACAACGCTAGACTGCTCTCACGAATCCAGCTGGGAGAGGATGAGTACTGAAGTCAACACTAACGGCCTTAGGTAAGCAATCAGTTGCAAAAATCTTATACTTCTGATTCTGACGAGTTGTCCAACTTGCTGGGCAAGTACCTTTACCTGTACGAACTCGTGAACGACGAGGTGATCGCGCTAAACGACCGCCTTCCTTACGCAGCGATCCAGGCTGTACAGTTGATAGCGCAGGGCTCACTCAGAACGGCGCTAAGAGGCATGGAATTAGCCCACCTTCAGCATTCCCTACAACTGTTTGTCTTCTACCTGAATCGATCACAAACCGATCATTACTGGTTGAGAACGCAGCCGGGTCGTACCTTTCCAACCCTCCTTACACCGCGCTGACTAATTGCGATGATACCAATTATACGGACAACAGAGTGCATCACAAGGACACTGACACAGGTCTTTTCATAGTTAGCCTTTTTTTCTAGACTCTACTGTGATGTCTTCTTCGGACATGAAATTAATTATGGAATTTCTAGTGTTCAGTGAGCGTACCTATGAAATGAGTATGAACCACTGGTGCGGAAGAAGTATTCGTGCGTTGAGTACACCAGCTTGAAACAATTGGAATGATGCACGCGATCGACAACAGATGGCATGCATAATTTGTACTCGAGAAGTGGAAGGTTGGCTAGAGGCGAAATATCCTGAAATATCACAGATTGAGGTAAGATTGCAGGTTAGGGACCGAAAAGAGGAAGGAATTAGCGTGGAGGCGAAAGTTCTGTTTTGTGTAAGCCTTTGGAGCGCTTTTTTTTTGCAGATCACGTAGCCGTCGTCGTTTGTGGTTATTTAGAATGGTGTGTGAAAAGATCCCGAAAGTGAAAAGATGCGATAATGACCTTGTGAGTTTTGTAGAAGAACAGAGTATGCGAGGTGAGCTCCGTCCATAATCTCTGCCAGCCATTCGAGTTTCGCAACTTCCGTAGCAAATAGCCTGATTGGCATACATCCACAATCTGAACATGAACGTAATATTGTAAGTGTAATTGTATTTGAAAATGAAAAGAAAACATAGACAAGATTCATAGCAGAACTGCTTGAAATAAGATTTGTAGTTCACTCGTTTTTAAATGAGGATCAACGAGAACAGTCCACATGTATTAGGTAGCCCGGAAAGTTCTCAACGTTTTGAGTGTTTCATTTCAAACGATCATAACTTTCTTAATACTCATCGGATTTAATCGAAATAGGCACCATTCGAATCAGCACACTTTTGCCAATGTGAAACCATTCGATAAATCCCATCAAGGAAAACACTGGGTGGTAGACAATCCACGAAAACCATGTAGGCCTTTTTTTGCCTGGTCCTGATTGATGAAGTATTTTCCAGCAGGGAAGTTCTGAAAATGTCTGAAAAGGTGATAGTCGGTTGGTGAAAGTCTGGAGAATATGGCGGTTGAGGTAGAACTTCAACCTCCAATTCGTTCGATTTATGGATAGTGACTTGTGAAACGTGTGGGTGGCGTTGTCATGCAGAAGAATCGGACCCTTTCTGTTGACAAATGCTGGCTGCAGCTGACGCAATTTTCGGTGCATTTAGTCAATTTCTTCACAGTAGGGCTCTGCTGTGATGGTTTGGCCTGGTGACAAAAAGTTATAGTGGATCACACCTGCCGATGACCACCACACTGTGACCATGACCTTTTTTTGGTAAAGATTCGGCTTTGGAAATTGCCTCGGTGGTTCGTCGGCGTCCAAATACTCTCCGTAACGTCTCCTGTTATCATACATGACCCACTTTTCATCACAGGTGACAATTCGGTCCAAAAACGGGTCGTTTCTGTTGCGCAAAAGCAGTGAAGAGGAAACCTCGAGACGTGCCGATTTCTGCCGGTCACTCACTTGTGGGGCACCACTTATCGAGTTTTTTTCACATTCCCAATGCGTTTCAAACCATCCGCAACACTGAATTTGCCAACGCCTAGTTTTCTGCAATTCTCGAACTGTTTGGGATGGGTCAGCCTCTAAGAACCCCTTCAAATCCTCGTCAGGTATTGCTTTGTCGATCGCTCCGAGGTTTGTCTTCAGGGCTGAGATCTCCAGAACGAAATTTGTCGAACCATTGCCGCACGGCGCTCTCCCTAGAACTACTGGGCCCCCACACCTGGTTGATTTGTTGAGCTGTCTCGAATGCGGATTGATCCAATTTTCAGTCGAAGAAAAATATCGTCCGAAGTTGCTCTTTTGACATGCTTCAAAAAGTCTGGGGAAAAGGGGGTTTGTCAAGCAATGGTGAAACGGCCATTACACCACCAGATAGCGCGAAGAATTCTCTTCAGGATATACTACTGAGACGCAAAGGAGAATGGGGTTTTAATCAGCAATGAATGTACAAAAATGGTAACACAAAACGCTGAGAACTTTCCGGACAACGTAGTATTTGAGAGACGAGAGCGCATTGGGGGTTGAACCTATTTTACTAGCGACCGTGAACGATAGGATTTTAAGATCAATCTGTAAGGGCTATCAGATCGCCTAGGAAGGGAAAACAAAAGCACCGGTTGAAGATTCCCCCATACCAAATTTGACTGCTTAATATTATTTAAGACATACAGCAGGAACACCGAGCGCGCGTGAGAGGACCCAGACGACAAAGGTTGAGACTATGTACTGACGACCGAGATAGCCAAAATCTGGGCTCCACTTGTTGTGGGCGCCCTCGTTTCTGAAGGGAATGGTCTACGCCTGAAGTTCCTGACTTTCTTACCACGTAAGAGAACTATTGGGTCGGCCCCATAAGTAATGGCGTTTTTTCTTACTCAAAATATTTCGCTAAAGATCAAACGTTTTGCCATTGAGTGCTATACTGTTTTGCAGAGTTCTCCTCGCCCTACACAACAGTTCTCTTAGTTTTTTTTTGAAATTTTTCTTTCCAATAATATCTAAAGGCTCAAATTGGAGGGTCACGTCGACGAAATTGAGCATTTTCGACAGCCTCTCTATTTCACCTCTAATTGAAAGCTAAAATCGCACAGGCCCAGTTGCTAAGTATATAGCCATGAGTCTACGTCTCTTACGAAGGCTTACAATCTTTTATCCGATGAAGATTTCAATTTTGACCTCATAGAAAAGAATCGAACCTAATGCCTTATTGACTGTATCTGCAACCTTACTGAATTACCTTATTTACGGAGATTCATGCCAAAGATGGAGGAATCGTTAAAGGTCATGAAATTCTTCTTTATCATTATCGAGCACCACCCTTAGTTAATGTTAGACGTTCAAAAGTTAGGGGGTACGTTCTGCAGGCAGTCACTCTGCAAGGGGGCGCCCCATGCGATTCACATTTACAAGGTCCGAATTGCCACCGCTTGGTCACTCAAACCAGTTCAAGATGTCATAAGAAGCGTCACTCCTTGGCCATATGTCACAATTTTTGAGCTTCTTCTGTGATTTGAGAGCCGAGATAAACTGCAAGAAGGTGTTGTCGAGAACTCACTTTTGGGTCGACTCGACCTTTCATTTAAGTGGAATAAAAATCGGAAAAATCATAAAGCAGTAGGAAAGCTACCGCACTATCTTATTGAGCAGAAAATTATTTGTCAAACAA